CCAGAAAGCAGCCGGGCCCGCCAAGCCCACCTGCCGCCTCGCCGCCGAGGCCAGCCCGGCCTGCAGCGCGCCGGCTCCGGAAGGGGAAAGAGCTGGGAGGGCGCTGCGGGCGGAAGCACCGCCCCGCCGGGAAGGGAGGTAGGGCTGTACTGAGCTGTCGGAGTCTGCTTTGCCCTGCCTAGCCCGGCCTGTGGCCGCTGCGGCATGAGCGGCCCGGCGGCTAGCAGCGAGGACCAGTCCCGCCGGGGCTGCCTGCGGGCCTACCCGGCGCTGCCGGTATGGGTGGTGGAGGACCACCAGGACGTGAGTTCCGGGAGCCGGGCGGTGGGACGGGGAGTCCCACGGGTGGTACATTGGGAACGGCTTCGTTTCTTTCTTTCTTTTTCCGCGGTGCGGAGGCTTAGTCCGGTGGGTGGGAGCGAAGACAGGTGCCCGGTGGATTCGCTGTGCAGTCGCCAGGAGCGTGGCCGGGAGTCTCCCCGCTGCAGGCGCTTCCTAGGGAATAGTCCTCACCTCCAAAGCCAGGCACAGCCCCTAAACCTGCCTTCTCTTTCACTTAGGAATCATTAAACGCAGTAGAGTGCCCAGGTGGCCTGAATTTCCTTCCCGATTAATTTAATCAATGCTATGATGGGATTTTGGCATCTCTTTAACAAGTTATTGCTGACTTTTAATTTTTTTCCCTTTGGACCGTAGTTGCTATAGCTAAAAGGAAGTAATATGTACATTACACTGCTCTTAGAATTAGGTAGGCATTCATGCAACACTTGAAAACTCAACCCTACACAGTATATCACATGTCAGCAACAAATTGGTAAATATATAATTGCATCCTAACAGGCAGATTGACTGCCGCTTGATGAGAAATGTTAAATGTGGAACTTTGCTTTTTTAGTTAATTAAACAAGGGGCTGAAGAAGGAGTTGAACTGCAGTTTCTGTTTTCTCAGACGATTTGTTGATAGTGGCATAAGCTGAGGTCTTAGTCCTAAGTAAGCAGATTCTTTACCCAGTGGTGCAGAAGCCTGGTTGTTTCAGTAAGGACTGCTGGGCGCATGAAAACCTTCTGAAGGCAGAAGTGGGTAATATTAACTCCATCAGTGTTTTGCAAACAGAAAAGTTTTGTGTAATAGAGTCTCTTAAAGTAAATAATGTTATGGACTTGTAAGTAAATAGTTTAATGCAGGTCATTTTTGCTAAGACTCACTGAAATTTATAATTCTGTGATAGCTGGTTTTCCATGGTAACCAAGGAGTAAGAGTGTCACTGTGATGGGAGTACTGAGATAATGACTATTAATCATTTGCTTTTGTTTTACTCTCTAAAATTCTGCTTTTAATTAATTTAACAAGTCTGTTGATACTAAATATATACACTGTGTTTTCAGTGTAGGTGTGTATATGCATTGGTCTATCTTGCATAAAGCCTATACAGCCTTTCATCCCAAGTGTAAGAACTTCACAGAACTTTCGTATAGTCTTTTGCTGACACTGATGTTCCTCTAGAGCAAGAGGATGCATCATACTTTCATTAATAGTAACAGCTGGTATAAAGGAAATTTTGTTCTTAATCCCAAGTAGGAGAACTTTTTAACTTTAATTGCAGAGATTGCAGGTTTTTCAAGCAGGCCAGATTACTTACTTTTTCCAAAGTTAAAGTCATGGATCAGGGAACCCTTGTTGGTTTTAACCTTTTACCTACTATATATATGCCTATAGTAGCGTACATATAACTGTATATGTAGTAGGTAAACTGAGGAATTTATTGCTAGATAGATGGAATACAGTCCAAATTTCAGCTGTCAGTCATGTTTTATGGTGATGCCCATGCAGTACACGGGACTTGTAATTTTAGTAAGTTTTATGCCAACAAATTAGCTCTGTTTCTGTTATAATGTGGAGGTCATGTGTAATGTTTGTTGCTCAGTCCTTTTACAGTCCTCACATCCCCTGTATAATAGGGCTGTGATTCACGGTCCTTGCTGGATTTGTTCTGACAGTTACTGTCCCGTAACTGTAGGAGGGACTCCATGTACTGTAGTTCAGTGTAAGGTAGCCATCAGTTTTCTCATTTTACGACCCTACATTATTGTACTTCAGTGGTTTTCTGTGCTATAAATTGATGAGTTGCCTCATCTCCTGTTTTTCCCCACCTTTAAGTGAAGACCTTCAGCACAGGTTAAGATTGGGCAGTTGAGAAAGGTAATCTCTTTATTACAGCTACTAAATCATGTAGGGATTAGGAATTAAGCCCTTTCTTCAAGGGAGATAGGTTAAAAGATCAGCTGCAGTTTAAGTGATGGTGGGGTCAGTTTTCACTCTCTATCAGTTAAGTTGTAAAATGCAAGTAATGAGATGCTTTTATCTCCACAGCACCCGTGTGTGGTGAAGAGCTTTATAGCATGGAGAAGGCAATGCAGGGACAATGCTCTGCAGAAGAGGAAAAGTGTGCCTGGGGTTCAGTTGTAAATGAAAAAAACCTAGGAATTGAGTTGAATGATTAGTGAGAAGAGCTTCTGCAAACAAGGCTTCCTATAAAGAAAGAAGGAGGGCGTAGAGCTGTGATTCTTCAGCAGCTTCTCTCTTGGGCTCATAATGATTACAGTTTGTGAGCTGTCTTGCCACTGGAGTTGTTTCCTTTCTGTATTGTTTTCTGTATCATCCTACTCTAACCCAAATTCTAGAGGAATAAGAGTGGGACTAGTGTTTTTGCTTTTAAAGCTGTTGCATTTTTCAGCTCACTGCTTACAATGGAAATATTTTAATTCATGTTGTTTTAGGTGCTGCCTTTCATCTATCGTGCCATTGGTTCAAAGCATCTTCCTGCCAGTAACATCAGCTTGGTTCATCTTGATTCCCATCCAGACCTTCTTATTCCTGTGAATATGCCTGCAGACACTGTATTTGACAAAGAAGCTCTTTTTAGGTAAGTCCTGGGTACTGCATCAGAATACTTTCAAGTCTGCTTCCTGCTGCCTTTAATTTACAATGAATATGGGAATGACTGCAGAGGACGTATGAACAAAAGAGGTGTAAGTCAGCCTGAAGTTCTATCTCCTGTCTCTTCACTTTTGCTGCAAACTTTGGTTTTTGGATGCAAAAAGTTATGTTTGTGGTTTTTGAATGTGGTCATGTATTTAAGATGCGTATCAAGGTGTTTAAGACTTAGAAATTTTACTTTGTTTAGTTGTTGAGTAGTGTATCATGTTATTGCACCAATTAGTATTTCATCTGAATAACAAGACAGCATCCTGAGTGGATGCTTTATGTCTGAAGAGCTGTGATTTTAAAACAGCATTTTCATACTGAAAAAATGACTTTGAGATTGTAGTAACATTTCCTATGTTGACATAGTGAGTAAGTCAAATTGAACAAGATTTACCTATTAAGATCATTAAGATCAGTATTTCCTCCCAACTTCTTAGGTAGGTAACAAGCCACAGGGTGATCTTTGCTATTGTTTTTCTTTTCCTGTTCTAAAATAAGTATTGATTGCTTCAGTGTTATGATGATTTACAGCAATAGCAATATGATGTAATTGGTATGTAAGTAGTATCATGCTACCCATAGTCAGTATTTTGTTTTCTCTGTTGGATGCATAAGAATTTTCTGTGGGCTATCATACACCTAAAAAGTGAGGTGTTTATAGCGAGGGAAGTTGGTGCTGATTGACTCAGTTGAATTCCTGAGATTATCTTTAAAATCTACTTCAGGCAGCTTACAGTAAAATACTGCCTTGAGCTGAGTTTAAAGTTATTCTAAACAGTATTGATGGTGCTCCTTGTACTTTTCTCTGTGATGTATCAAGACAAAAAGGACAACAGATCAGTGTAGTTTGTAGTCAAAGTGCCATACTAGGAATGAATCTGATTGCACTCTATAATTGTAACTTTTTTAATTCTACTGTAGACATTTTTGATCTGTCTTATGAATAAAGATTTCCCTTTTTTTGTTTCCTTGATGATGTGAACTTTACACAGAGTACTAATTTAAGCTGATTTGCATGGGGGTTTTCAAGACGTGGAAGATATTTGTTCTAGACCATGTTGTTCTTACAGGGAAAGTGACAATATTGTTTCCAGTCTTTCTCCATTCTTTACAGTGAATTAAGTATTGAGAACTGGATTATGCCTGCTGTTTATGCTGGTCACATTTCTCAAGTAGTATGGCTTCACCCGCCCTGGGCTCAACAGATTTTGGAAGGGAAACACCATTTTTTAGTTGGGAAAGACGTATCAACAACTACAATCAGGTAAATTGTCTGCTGTCATATGCTAATAATATAAATGTTTGTGTTTGTTTGTTTTTAATTAAATGAATTCCATTGATAGGGAATTCATCCTCACTTAGAACAGGGAATCTATACCAGTGGTAAAGAAAAGTTAAATGCTACTTATTAATTCATAATATCAACATCTGTGGGTTTCAGGACAATTCTCAAACAGAGCTAACAGAATTTTTCTTATAAAATAGGCAATCTAAGACAAAATATCCATAGCTTTTCAGTCTTACATGCCATAATATTGACAGTATCTCGGTAAATTCTGAATGTTGTCTTTAAAATGCAATTCAATGGCAAGTTAATCTTAGTAGTGCATAATGTCGAATCTTTTTCTTATCCATCAAAACCCTTATAGGACTTTCATAAGAATTACAGAGAGAATTATATTGATTAAGCAATAAAGAAGTATAAAACATTTCAGTTTAAAAACCTGCAGTTAACATAAGTAATCTTTGTGTACACAGTTTTATTGCTTTTGTTACTCATCAGTCATCTGTTCATTCTTCTCAGGATCCCTTAAGTGTACGTGCTTTTTCCTAAGCTCTTTGCAAAGATGTGTATTAACTGTGAGTTATTGTCAACTGTAGGGTTACAGGTACAGATCATTACTTTCTAAGTGATGGTCTTTATGTCCCTGCTGATCAGCTAGAAAACCAGAAGCCTTTAAATTTACACGTCATTCTCGTCAAACCTACGGAAGCATCAAACAATCAGGAAGAAAATGGCGAAGTAGCATCTGCTAAGAAACTGAAGCTAAATACAGATGACACAGCAAGCACCGCTTCTGCCTCTTCATCAGTGGTTCCTGGTGACCTTGGTCACAGCACCCCAAGTCTGAAGACCAAGGAAGTACAAAATGCAAGCACCCCAGACAAGGCAGAAACATTGTCAGAGTGCTCAACTTCAGGCTCTCTCAGAAACAGTGGATGCCCAATAAGGGAAATTGTTAAAGATGTCTGCCAAGTGCTGCAGAAAGGGGATGCATATGTTTTGGACATTGACTTAGATTTTTTTTCAGTCAAAAATCCATTCAAAGAAATGTACACGCAGGTAAGTGTGACAATGGAAAGGCCTCTTACCATTCACAAAGGAGTACCAGTCCTAGTAATTATGTCTATGGAGAAACTTTCATCTAAGCTATTTTAGTGCATCAGTTGATCATGATTAATGAATCATAGTCATATCTGAAGGAGAGACATTCTAAGGGAGTGTACTTTCCAAAGAATTACAACAACCTAATAGGGATAGATCCTTGTATTTGAAATAGGTATTGAGTGCCCATTCAAGCTCAGAGGTGTATGGTTCGTTTCTGCTTGTTGCTTAGGACATAAAAGCCATGCTTGCATTTCCAAAGGTAATGCTCCAAAGACCTGCAGCAAGTTTCATCAGGACAGGATGACAGATTGTATAATTTTTTACCCCCAAAGGGTGGTAACTTGTCCTGATGAGAGGCTGTTACTCTCATTTGCTTTGTCTGGACTGCCAAGTGCAAGGGTGAGCAAGTGGCTGTTGTCTCTGATGTCATAGCTCTGAGCTTAAGACTCTGCCTTGTATTCCATGTATAACTTGCCTGCACAGCAAAGGTAGCTCACCTGTATAGAGTCATAAATACGTAGATCCTGAAAGGTGCAAAGCAGTTAGCAGCTTTTCTTGATGTGAACAGGATCTTTAGGAACTAATTAATCTGCCCTGAAATTTGGGTTTGGCATTTATGTTTACAAATTCTTCTGCAATATTCTGTCTGTAGCATTTAAATCTCACTTTGACACAGTTTTAACTTCAGCCTATGCTGGAGAACATCTGACATCCTTGAGTTTCAGCTAGACTACTGCTTCCTTGTTCACCGTAAATAAGTGAATATAGTGTCCCTGACCTCTGTTAGCTTCTGACATTCAGTATTTATGATCACAGTATCTTCAAACAACTTGCATTTGCTCTGAATCACAGAGAGAAGTGTACAGCAAAGGGAAAGCACTGTGGGTGTCATACCATACAAGAATAAAATTCAATACCTCTCTTAGGTAAAATACATTCTGAATAAAATAATGGAGGAGTTTTGAGGGTTTTTTGTTTGGTTGGTTTTGGGGGAGGTTGGTGGTGGTGGTGGGTGTTCTGTTTCTTGTGGGTTATTTTGTTTTGTGTTATGATGGGTTCTCAGTTCTAAGAACAGCTTTCAGAAGTGGACTTGTGCAGAGCAACCCAGTGTACCTTTTTTGATATAATGATATCACTTGCAGTTAATGTTTCTTAGCTAAGTTTCCTTTACTGTAAAGTACAATAATTTCATCTGAAAATTTTTGACAAGTTAACACTTGAGATATAAGAATACAAGGAGAAACTAAAAAGCAAATGGTTCACAATACAGAAGAGTATTGTCTTCTCACCAAAAGAGTCTGAAATCCAAAACATTGTGCCAAAGATGCTTTGTACTTCTAAAAGAATTGAAGTCTACCTTTCTTTCTCCCTCTACTGCTGAAAAATTAACGTGTCCACCTTTTGAATGCTGTTAAATAAATGACATCTGTTTATCCTTGATTAAATAAATCTAAATATTATCAAGGATTAGGGCTGACAAGCCCCTGTCATAGTTTACCTGTGAAATTGGTCAACCAGCCTTTACCTGTCTGTTGTTTGTCTACAATCATACTCTCCTGTTGGTTTTCTTGGCCTAAATCTGCTATCCAAGTTTTACTATGTATGTGTGGGACCATAGTTCAGCAAAACGTATGTTTAATTTCAGAGACTCTTTAACTAACAGACTGTAAATACTTAGATTTTAAAGCTATGTCCTTGAAGTCAGGTTTAAAGTTAAGCAGTTGCAAAATGTTTGGCTGAGGCCATGAAATACTGCTTTCTCAAGCCTCACAGCATCTTCCTCACCTGCATTTACAGAGAGTCTGCAGTACTAGAGCAGAGGAATAATCTTAGTGATCAAGTTCTTTTTTTGAAGAAGGAGGACTTTGAGGATTTTGTTTCTTTTTTGAGGAGCCTAATTTTTTGCCTCTTTTTTTTCTTTTTCAAAGACAGAATATGAGCTTTTGCAAGAGTTGTACAGTTTCCAGAAGCCTCATAGAAATGCAGCAGAGGTATGGTATGTCCTTGTGAGATGTATGAGGGAATGATTCTTTCAATTTACCCAGTAAAAATGAGTTACAACAAGGAAGGAACGTATGAAAGGTGCTTAATGAAGTGATCTCCAATTAAGCTATGCAGCATGCTGAATGCTAATCAGCAGCATCTCTGGAGTTCTTTCCTGTGAAACATTTTGGTTAAATGTGTGAACTGCATAAATATTTAGCATGAGTGTGAAAAGTAATTTCTGTAAACAAGTGGTAATTGACAAGAAAGAAATGAAAACATAGTGAGTCATCTGCAATCTGGTGCTTTTTATGGCTCAACAGGGCTTTGGTTTGGGGTTTTTTTTGGGTTTTGTGTGTGGAGTTGGCAGAGTTGAAACAATTCCATAGCATCAAATAGCCTATTTTGTGCTTTTTTTTTTTGAAAATGCATTTGATCTAATATTTTTTAAAAAAACTTACAAAATTAAATTCTCTTTTCATTATAAAATGAGAAGCTTTTACTCATCAGAGCATTTCAGTGCTATAGAAAGAAACCCAATAATTCATCATAAGCAGTTTCTTAGCTCTCCACGGTGTATTCTAACAGCATGTAGATGTGGCTTTTTTATTTGTTGTGGGAAAGACAGCAGAGAGAGATGATTTCTTCTGAAGGTGTAACAACTCCTGCAGGCATTCATTCTGATACTCTTGAAAAGATGTTCTGTAGTAATGAAGCAGTTGTTTCTGATTCCGCACTCCCAGAAGATCAGTCATTTCAGAATTTAAATCATGGTATTTGTTAAGCCATGACGTTCTTACCTCTTTTCTTCCTAACATACTTTTTATATATGCTTATTTAAAGGAGAGCTTGCTGGATTGTGTTGAAAATCGTGTTCATCAGCTAGAAGATCTGGAAGCAGCATTTGCAGATTTGTGTGACAGTGATGATGAAGAGACCCTACAGAAGTGGGCTTCATATCCTGGGTAGGAGATTTCTAAATGGTTTAAAAGGCACAGTAGTTTGGGAACTGATTAGCCTAGCACTTTGCTAACAGAAAAGGGGAGAAGCTGGATAGGACCTATGCAAGACTAATATTTTTCCTTTAGTTCTAGAGGAAAAAGAGTCGGATGAAACAAAAGAAAAGGCAATCTGCTGTCTTCACTGCCATAGTAAGCCTTCCAAGATCAGCCTTGTACAGCTTCATGCAAATTCTGTTGCCTGTGAAGGAAGGCAGATTTGGTGACTAAAAATTTAGTGTTTTGTGTGAAGCAGAGCTCTCAAAAAAGCAAGAAACTGCAGAGGATCTGGAGAAGGACTTTTTTTATGTTCCCAAAGGTTCTGCTTTCTGAAGAAAGATGAAAGTGAATGAAAGGCTGTACCTGAACAACAGTGTCCACAAAGCATCTCAGCAGCACCTGCTGTGCTTTTAAACTAAATATTTTCTGCTGAAAAGAAGCAGCAAAAGTCTAAGCTTCCCCTTGATAGGCAAATCACTCGTTTTCCCTGTCAAATGCAGCGGTTACTGCCAGACTCATGCAACAGTAATCACAAGCATTTCTTAGCAAGATCATGTAAGTTTGAGCTACAACAGTTTTTCTCCAGGTCTGCCCTGAGAGAAGTGCAAAGAAGTCTTGCCAGAGGTATGAATATAGGGGCTTGCTAAGAAAGACCTGGTGAAACAGTACGATAGTAGTGATGATTTTCATTTTTTCTTAGGCCCAAGATGACACGGGGGTATTTTTTTTTTCTGACTACCTAAGGTAAACATATGTGTTTCCAACTGTTTATGTAACAAGTTTTGGTTTTGTTTTAACTCCAGAATGAAGTCACTTGTTCAACTAGTTCACAGTTTGAAAACCAGGATGGAAAGCCCAGACTACGAAATGGTAGGTGACTAGGTAAGAGAGCAGAAAGTAGACAGATTTCAAAGGCATAGCTTCAACAGGGAGGGCAAAGATCATGCTTCATTTCAGACTTGCTTCTTGATTCAGGACTTAATGAGATTTTGGTAGTTTTCCCTTTTTATGTCTTATTACTGAGGACAACTTTTCTTTTTAAAACTTCTAAAATTCTATTCTGCTTGTCTATATTTAGGCAATGTTAATGTCCTCTTTCAGGACTGTGACCTCTCAGGCTGCTTCCTGTGAAGAAAGGTTTAATTTCTCTAGGATCTGTTGATATACTTTGTTGAACTTAACTTAAGGTACCAATTTGTAAAAGATCAGACCTATCATCTTCAAAGGCTGCAGCATACTCTGAATTTGTAGGAGAGGTACAGTGTACTGAAGATAATGAAACAATACATAGAACCTCCAGAATTTTAATGTTTTTGATTAAAGAACAAGCTGGGGGAAAAAACCCAACTCTTACTGGCTGAAGAGGTGTAAGTTACCTACTGGGCTAGAGATGGTATCTTAGAGACTTTTTACATGGATAAGCTATATGAATAATTCATCGAGAGCAATTAAATCTCTGTTTAATTTACATGTAGGTCCATCAGGCTGGTCTGACCTGTGATTATGTGGAACTTCCCCACCATGTTAGCACTGAAGAGGAGATTGAAGGCCTCATCCAGTCCATTAAAATTCTACTAAAAGATATGCCTAAGCCCACACTTGTGACAGTTGCTCGGTAAGACTGTGTAGATACTTTAAAACGCTCAGACTGTGTTTAGGGAGCTAAGTAATTCTATCAATATAGCACTGCTTGGTGTATCTTAGAGTCTGTCTTAAAGTGGAATCCTTACAGTGAAAATTGACATTTGAAAATGTTGATCATAAGGCAGTAACAGTTTCCGCACAGCTAAGAGAAGGTTCTGTGCTGATGGCCGGTTTTACTGCACTTTAGAGTAGCTAGTACAGATTTCAAAAGCACTGAAAATGACTTAATGAGCTTCAGCACAGGCTGTATAAAACCTGTGATGAGGCCTTTTGTCTGTTGAGATTGATAGCTGTCACTGGGGTTCATACATCTCCGCTACTTTTATTACTTGTGTTAGAGCAAGGCCAGCTTGGACAAGCCTTCATGGGCTGAAATCACACCTTCCTTACTCTTGTTCTAGGGTTCATTGTACTACAGACAAGATTTTTATTCTTTGTGAAACTTCTGATGGAAGTTTTTTTTATCTAATAGGCTGAAAGGGATTTATATTCTAGAAAGCTCTAGTAAAGCTATGAATGGGGTAAAAGTTATGCTTCCAGGACTGTAAGGGAATTATCTGGGAGAAGAGGATGGAGTTTGAGGCCAAGGACCTGTGAGAACCAGGAATCTGTCCTCGAAGAACTTAATTTGAAGACCACACTGTATCTGTTGACAAATTTAATCACTTCAGAAATACTAATTGTGCCCTTGAAGGGCAGGCAACAATAGCAGAAACTGACATGGAATTGGTTTTGTCAACAAGAAATAGCATGGGTAATACTTAAAATAAAAGAAAGCTGTATTTCCTGATAATTGCAGGGTTATGATCCACTGCTTCAGAGAAAATACAGAATCATTTATGTAGATCTTGATAGATACAAAATCCAAGAAGTGTCAGCTCTGCTTTTTGACTAGTATCTCTTTGCAGTTCATTAATAGATACTGTAAGTAATGCTATATCCAAGGGATTGTGCAGATGTTTTGCAAGCTTTCCTACATATTTTACTGGTAGCATTTGAATGTTTCAATTTTAACTTTCCTCCAGTCCTTTAATGAGATAATTGCTTGAACTTTGACTGGCAGCATGTTCTGTGTCTGAGTCAGGAAGAGAGTAGAATTGGAAGGATGAATAGGTCACATTCCTGATCTGCTCCAGACTTTCTATTCAACGTCATGCAAACTGATACCAGTGAAAGTAATGAGAAGAAGCACAACACTGCACTTTGGAGAGATACTGGGAGGCAGAACTTGCCACAGCTTAAAAGTAGCTTCAGCCTAAACACAGAGTACTACACGAATACTAAATGTGGTGATGGTGGTGATATCTGTACTCATGCTTTTTAAAATCCTTGTTACAGGTCAAGTTTGGATGACTATTGCCCTTCTGAGCAGGTTGGCATCATTCAAGAGAAGATCCTTGGTTTACTAGGTTCGGTGTATGGTGCTCTGGATGTGCACTTAGATTACTCAAGCACCTCATCTTCTTTGTGACACTTCTAATGCAGTGGATTAATTTAAATTCTATATTAGCTATGGTTTCAAGGGGAAAAATACTGTTGTTTCAGCAGATGGCAGTAGAAGCCAAGTTGATCAAGAGCTAGTTTTCAGTTGCATTACTTTTTCCAAATCAGCTGCACCTGAACTGTTACCTGTTTGGCTTCATTCAAATGAGTGCAGTGATTATTATTATTTTACTGTCTTGTGTCTTCTTAAAAGTGGTGCAAGAGTAACTGTTTTTTTTGTCCAGAAAATGTATTTTTTCACCTAGTTTCTTTATGTGTCTGTAAAAAAAAAAAAAAAAGAAAAAAGAAAGAAAAAAACCCCCCAAAAAAACAAAACAAAAAAACTCCAAAACAGTATAACTTCTTAAAATAAATGGATTTGGTTTATGTATTTAAACTTTTTTTCTGATGGAGTTCGGCAAGTAACAGACATGTTCCTGAGTTGCACTGTACCTTTAAAAAAACCCAACATCTCAGTAATGCCCTTAAGACATTAGGTTTACGTTGTGATCTTTCTTAATTTCTGTGTTCAAGATGACCAGGCATACCTCACTTATTTCTCTAGAGCAGCTTATGGCCTCTGCCCCATCCACAGAATATGATTTATTATTTATTTATTTCTACTCCATTGTATTAATATTGTGTTATTTTGCTTCAGAGTATTTCATTGGTGGCTCATATAATATATGTACAAACATTGGCTTGGTATATTCATTTTTACTTATTTTTGAGGATAAAACATAAATGGAGTTAAATGTCAAGATTAACTCCTTAGTGATCTACACCTCCCATGGAGGGGCAAAATTTAAAAGATGTAGGAACTACAATTTGTGCTTACTGGCAGAAACTCATCTAAAAGGGGAATAAAGGAGAGAGAACCCTCCTCTGCATCTTGAGTAATGAGATTTCTAATTTGGCCTTTGCTTTGCTGTGTTTTACAGAGAGTCTTTGCCAGCTGAATAGAATAGCCCACCCTCAGTTTGGTTATCACTGCAAAAACAGGTTTCTGCATTTTCATCTGCTTTTGCTTTTTGAAATTTTGCCATTACTCTTTTACACTTACTTGACCTAAACCAAAACATTGCCAGGATGACTATGGAAATGGAAATGAAAACATCCGTAAAGTTTTTATATTGAGTCATTCTCAAGATGTCTGCACGTCAAGATGGTTGTCTCCCTGGAAACGTTCATCTTAGACCTAGCACTTACTCTGAGGCTTTCGTGCCAGTTATACATGATCTTTTGAACACTCAATTATATCCTGTATTTGTTGTAATTAGATAACTGACTTGGATTAATTAGCCTGGAATGGCAGCAGTGTATTACAATGAAGTGCAAGTTTGAGTGTGTTATGGGGTTTCTCTTACAATTAGAATTTAAATTACTGTTAAAAATGACACTTCATTTCCATTTTTTCTTAAATTTATCAGCACTAATTTTCTTCTATGTCGATAAATGGAATAAAAATGACATTTTTCAGCACTGTAGTAAAAGATGCTTTTTTTCTCCTTTTTGAGACATTGACACAGGAGTCACTTAAAAAAACCCTGTTTGCAATGCAAGCCTTTTTTTTCCCAAGTTGTAAGAAGGAAAGCCTTTTAAAATTGCATTTATCCACTACTGCTTTCAAACGCTGAATAGCTAGCCTTGCTTAAATATGATCTTCGTGTTTTAAAATGCCTCCAGCCTTATAAACTGGAGATAGACAATGATTATATTTGCATCTATGCACAGATGGAGGATTGGACACCTCAGATGGAAAACCACAGAGCCATCCAGAAATAGGCAGTAATTTCTTGGATGCACAGACAGTATAACAAGTCTTGAAAAGCCAGAATGAAAACTGAACTGAATGAAAAGTTCAAGTTTAGAAGCACAAAGCAGAACTTGTACTTTCTTTTGCTTTGTGTGGGTACCAGCAGGTCCAGGGAGGTGATTATCCCCCTGTACTCGGCACTGGTGAGGCCACACCTCGAGTACTGCGTTCAGTTCTGGGCCCTAAGAAGAAGAGCCCTATAAGAAGGGTGCTGAGATTCTGGAGCGTGTTCAGAGAAGAGCCACAAGGATGGTGAGGGGTCTGGAGAACAAGCCTTATGAGGAGCGGCTGAGGGAACTGGGGTTGTTTAGCCTGGAGAAGGCTGAGGGGAGACCTCATCACCACCTACAACTACCTCAAGGGAGGTTGTAGAGAGGTGGGTGCTGGTCTCTTCTCCCAGGTGATGGAGGAGAGAACAAGGGGAAATGGCACCAATGTGTACCAAGGGAGGTTCAGGTTAGAGATAAGGAGGAAGTTCTTTACTGAGAGGGTTGTCAGAGGCTGGAACAGGCTGCCCAGAGAGGTGGTGGAGTCACCATCCCTGGATGTATTTAAAAAGCGAGTAGACGAGGTACTTAGGGATATGGTTATTTATTCCTGAATAAAAATGTCACCTACTTAATCCATATTATCATCTTCATGTGAGAGGATGCATTTTTAAAAACATATTTCCTGAGGCTAGACCTTATTTTTATGGATGCACGCATGCTCCTGGAATCACCAAAGTGAAACTGAATTTTACAATTTTCTGTTGTTGTCGAACAACAGAAAAAACTTAATATATGAAGACCTTCCACTCCATCCTGGGCTAGTCACAGCCATCAGATTTTTGTCTGAAGAAAAAGAGGTCTATTAAAGCCCTGGAAAGGCTGGAACCCCAGTTCATGTAGGAGCTCATCACATTTAGTTTGTATTCACCTTTTGCTTGACGAAATCAGGCCGTAGGAGTCAAAAGTCACCCCAAGGGTGAACAATCATTTAGAGCTCTGCTAGTTTAACCATACTGTAATAGTCAATGTTCTTAATGAGGCTTGGTAGGCTTTGAATTAGCTGTTATTAGTTGGAAGAGTGGTCTTAGGGCTGGAGTGAAGGATGTCCAGAAACTCTAGAAGAAACTCAGATAGCCAGTCAAGCCTAATCCAGTCTCTGGGTTAGGGACTGCACTGAAGATAGTTCACTGTCTTTTAAAAACCTCAAAACTCACTTTTGTCCCAAACTGCAATGAAACAAAGGCTCTTCAACTTTGTGCAGCTTAGCATTAGATTCAGCACTCACCACTGCCCTTTGTGCAGATACTTCCTATGTCATCCAAAAGGGATGTTTGGAAAAATAAATCATGTGGTTCAGATCTGAGCACCTAAAGAGTTCACCATCTTGTGACCCTCCAGTTCCCAGCCTTGGAGATACTTGTTATGGTCACGAGGTGGTGCACTTAGTGTGTCGTTTGAAACCTGCTTGGTGGGCTGGAAGTCAAGTTGCTGGAGGCAACCTGGAACCTTTGCAAGTTCATCCTCGGACTAAACTGTGATCATGAGAAAGCAACAGAATAGCTCTGGTAGCACATCTCAACTGGAGCACACTCTGTAAGTCAGCACAGACAGGATGCCAGAGCAGTCACCAATCCAAGGATGAAATGCCTGCAACCTCACTTGTGTCACTCTCCCTGGGTGCTGCTTTGGGAATCCTCTGGCTGGTGAGGTAGCAAGCATAAATTTAGTCTTTGCATTTCATCCATGGTTTTGCAGCTGTTCCTGCACCCTCTCTGTGGTGACACACACACACACACGCGTGCGCGCGCGCGCGCACACACACACACACACATTCGCTACAGTTCTGCAGATTTAAAGTAGCATCATGAATTGTCTGTCATTGCAGTCATTTAAGAAATCTTCCTTTTAGGCACAATATTTTTCATGAATGTCTCATTGGTATCATCTGAAACCTGTGACTAACACAGACTATGCAATATGTTCCAGATGATGCCAGCCTTCCATAACTACAAAGACATCAATTTTTATATTAAGAGGACATTTGCAAGGTTGTTTTCTACTTTGGCAAAAAGTAATCAGAAAAAAGCATAAACAGGTATGTTTCTCACTTCTGCTGGATATGGCTTATATACTGACCACATGTACAAATTCTCCATTACCTGTGTCTGCCTCAGTTTCATATCGACTTATTTCAATATCTTTTATGCAGAGCAAGACAATGGAATTGTAATGCATAACACCTCTAATTAGTGCTACAAGGATGGGACATGAAGGCTTACTAGAAATAAACTCACTTGAGGATATCGGCATAGTAATGCTGATAAGACAGCAGCTCCATGTTGTCTATTGTAGCTAGATGCCATACCTTCTGCTGTTGCTGTTGAGGAAGAAAATCACTCTCCAGCACAGTCAGTCTTGGGGGAAGAGACCCATTTCTAGGAAACCTAGGATAAGTGTCCTGTCTCCTTATGCCTCCAGTGGGCAGCACCAGGGAGGGCTTCTCCTGGCCTGCCTGGTGGGCCCCATGCTGGTCCCATCAGTGACACAAACCCTTTGCATGTCCCATCCACTCTCAGGAGGGAAGGTGAGAAGACAGACATTGGGAACTCTGGCTCTGCAGTGGATGTGCAGCTCCCACACCCCAATGCAGATGGGAAATCAAGGACCCAGCAAACCCAGTTCCAGCTCCTGCCTTGGCACAGGCCTCCTCCCTCACCCTCATCAGCTTCAGCCACAAATCCACGTTGGGAGACATGCAGTCCAGCTAGGTCAACAACCACCACAGGGGCGTACTGTAACACCTCCTCAAAAGGAAGACTGATTCCTTGTCTTTCTTCCACTGTTTGAGCCTCTGGCTGCCCTGCTTCTCTGTCACAAGTACAGCTTGCGAAGGGGCTGGATCCCTTCGCTGGTGCTCACCTCCCCACAACCTTACAGGGACTTCCACCTCCTTCTCTCACGTAAGTGTGCCCTCCCCCAGTCAAATGGCTCTGGTGTGAATTTTCATCTGGTTCTGTTCTGTGGTTGGTTTGGCTTTTGTTTGTTTTTATTTTTACGGTTTAATTGCAGTTCACTTCAGGCATACATAATTTCAAATAGGGATATTTAACCCTTTAAGGAAAGGAGTCACCTCACAGGAGAGGGACAAATCATTCTAGCCCTAAATACTGGTTACATATTATC